CCTGCCGATGCAGGGGACACGGGTTCGCGCCCCGGTCCGGGAAGATCCCACATGCCGCAGAGCCGCTGGGCCTGTGAGCCATGGCCGCTGAGCCTGCGCGTCCGGAGCCTGTGCTCGCAACAGGAGAGGCCACAACAGTGAGGGGCCCGCGTACCACAAAAAACAAACAAACAAAACAACAACAAAAGAAAAACTGTTCCCTTTTGTGTAGCAAAACCAAGTTCTGGGGCCGTCCACTGTTCACGGCCTGAAGGCAGTGTTTCTGGCTTGTCTCTCCAGGGAATGTGACAGATGGTTTTCTTGGACTTTCTAGGTCTTTCTTGCGAAGCCTGGTGCCCACCTTTCTCCTGATCGGAATCCTCCTCTATGTCGCGAGGAGGGGCCCGATGGGGGCTGGGCGTGGCAGGAGAGGAGGGGGCCTCTTTACCGTCGGCGAGACCACAGCCAAGATCATGAAGAACAACGTCGGCGTGCGCTTTGCATACGTGGCTGGTTGCGAAGAAGCCAAGTTGGAGATCGTGGGGTTTGTGAATTTCCTGACGAATCCCAAGCAGTTTCAGGACCTCGGGGCCAAAATTCCAGAGGTACTGATTTGAGAAAACATGGTGATGCTCTGAGCTTTGCCCTGGTTCATTGTGGACAGAGCTGGGACAGTGTAGCTTTTGGTAATGATACTGTGTCTTATTAATCACAGTGGGGAGTGGAAATCGCATTTGCAGAGTGGAAAAGTGAAGATCCTCTTATCTGATCAGCTATTTTAAACCATAAAACTGGAATCATAGGGACAGCACACACCCACCTGGAGTGTGTTTATTTCACCTTCAAGCGCAAACATACGTCTTTGTTGGTGTGGTGTCTCGTTTAGAGCCCAGGCCTTCCTTTGAGTTTGGCTCCAGTGATCAAATTCTCTGTTAAATATCCTGCATGAAGCACTTAACGTCTAGAGTTTTGTTTCTTTAAAATGAACTGAGAACGTAGAAGCAATCTGAGTGCAGGATCCTATGTTTTTATGACTTTTTCTTACTCTTTCAGTTTTCTATCCATTCAATTTGACAGCATTTTTCTTTAACAGTTTGCCTTTATTACTTTATTATCTAAAGCCTTCAACTTTGTTTTTGAAGAAACAACTTTCTTTACCATTATTTATTATCAAAGTATATAATTAAAATAAGTACATGGAATTCCCTGGAGGTCTAGTGGTTAGGACTTGGGGCTTACCTTGCCGTGGCCCGGGTTCAATCCCTGGTTGGGAAACTAAGATTCTGCAAGCTGTGTAGCGTGGCCAAAAAAAAGAAAAAAGAAAAAACCATCAAGTACAACCCTCGTAAATGGGTCTGGGATCAGATGCAGCTGCCTCTCGGGAAGCCCATGACCCAGTAGTGGGACAGGTGTGCGGTGTGGATGCAGGTTGGGGTGCTGTGCAGAGGAAGTGGAGCTACGGTGATTCTGGCCACTCTGTCTACCTGCAGGTGCCTCTGGGTGTCAACCTTTTGAGGGCCCGGCTGAAGCTGTGAGTCCTTTTCCCAGAAAGGTTTGCGTCTCACTTAGAATAGATTCACAGATCCCTCGAGGCGTCCCTGGGCCCTGGACCAGGCTCCGAGCTCTCGGGTGGGTGGTGCTCACCGCACTGACCTTCCTGGTGGCCCCGTGCTTCCCCCAGCGTGCCCTGAACAACAGGAGAGCATGACTGACCGCTGGGGCTTTGTGGGCAGGAGGTTTGTGCTTCTGTTTGACCACCTGGTGAGAGCTGGCTGGAAAACCGGGTGTGGGGGGCACAGAAGGCGCCCTGGGTCCCATGGCCCCTGCCTTGAGGAAACCCTCTGTGAATCCGCATCCACATTCATGGAGACGTGGGGCCCTGACGCCTTGTGGTTTTGAGTTTTGTGGCTCCCTCCTCCCTCCCTTTATGCATTTTAGTTTTGTCCTTAAAGACTTAGAAAAACCACCTTAGAGTCTCCTTTGAAATAAGTAGATATTAACCCACACCCTCGACTAGAAATGGAGCAATAGGAGCCCCGTTTAAATCTCTCCTCGTTTTTCATGCGTAATGGTAACCCCGAAAGGAGCACTGAGGTGTGTTTCTGGGGCGTGAATTGTGAATTTCAACCTTAAGTAAGCATAGAAAAAGGCAGGTTGTCGATCAGGAAGCACAGGTGTCAGTGGCCACACACAGGCGCCACCTTCACAGCTGCCGGTGGACGAGCTGGACAGAATCACGTGACCAGGTCTGGGGCGTGGGCTCTTGTTCCTCCTGGTGTGAGTTGGTGTGTTTCGTAGGGCAGTTTGGCAAAGACCGTTAAACATCAGACTGCGAGATCCAGCGAGCCCTGCCCTGGGAGGGTTGCCTGAAGAAATAACCTGCCCGGCGGGACTGGGGGTGTGGGGGGCTTTCCCACGTCTGCAGCCTTTGAACGTTTCATGGTGAGCGTGCGTTCATTTTACAAGCAGGAAGTGTCACACCGAAAGCAAACCTCAGCCGACCCGCGTGGAGCAGGCCTAGCAAACGCCTGTTCAGTAGAGCGTGGCTGTCTCCTCGGCTCCACCTGTGCCCTTTCAGAACCAGGCATTGCCTTTCTGTTTCAGGGAGCCATGCTCGCTGGTCCTCCTGGTCCCGGCAAAACGCTTCTCGCCAAGGCGACTGCAGGGGAGGCCAGCGTGCCCTTCATCACCGTGAACGGGTCCAAGTTCCTGGAAATGTTTGTCGGCGTCGGTCCAGCTCGGGTAGGTGGGTGCGCCCTTGTCCTTGCCCTGGGCTTCGTGTGGGACCCTGGCAACAGGCGCAGAGCACAGATGTGCAGGGGGACCCGGGCGGGCAGGCAGAGCAGCTGAGATGAGAGTTGAGTTCCAGAGGCGAGGGCTCAGCTTGGTGAGCTCTTTAGTCCTGTGTTGGTGCCAGTGGCAAAGCAGGCCCTGCGTGGACTCCTGTTTCAGGTCCGTGACGTGTATGCAAAGGCCCGAAAAAATGCTCCCCGTGTCTTGTTCATTGAGGAGATTGACGCGATGGGCAGGAATCGCGGCCGTGGGCACTTTGGGGGCCAGAGCGAGCAGGAGAACCCCTGAACCAGCTGCTCGTGGAGCTAGACGGTGAGCGGCTGCACGACCGTCCCCCAGGCCTTCCTCTGTGCGGGACCTCCCTGGGCGAGAACCCCTGCTTGCTCTGTTTTGAGGAAGGCTGTTCTCGGCACACACGGTGGAGGGAGCTGCCCTCAGAGCTCAGCGCAGGACGGGGCCGACACACAGGCTCCTTCCACATTGGCCTCTGACCTGGGCCGCCTCCTGCCCAGAACCCCTCTCCGCTCTCCCCGCTGGGGAGCACTGCTCGGGGAGGTCCCAGCTCCGCGTGATAGCCCAGCAGCCCTGCCGAAGCTTTGCGGGAAGCGTCTAGGCGTTCTTACTAGTTTCCAAATTTGGAGAAGCTTTTGTTGGACCTTTGGCAGGTCTTGTCCTCGCTTTGGCTTTGGAGCTGTGTTGGGGTCCCCGACATGATCCAGGGTTTGGTGATTCACCGGGAGGACTCCGTGTGTAGTTGGATTCAGGACCACGGTTGAGTGCAGTGGCAGGACACAGCAGAATCACAGGGAGCAGGTGCCTGGTGGCCAGGGAAGCCGGCCACAGCCTCCGGGGCCCTGGAGTCGCAGGATGCAGCTACTTCCCTGGCAGCGGGCTGGGTGACACTCAGGAGTGGGCTTTCCCCTGGGGGCTGGTCACGTGGCAGCCTCTGCCCAGCACGTGCCACGATCCTGGCCTCCCAGGAGGAAAGCAGGTGCTTCGCAGAAACCACACATCTGCACGCACAGTTGAGGTGCAGGGAGCCCCTCTTATCAGGGAGCAGTCCTGAATCCCAGGTACCAGAGGTGGCCGAGGGCCCCCGTGAGCAGGCGTTTCTGCAGATGAGTGCTGGGTGAGCTCAGGCCCTCACCGCCCCGCCTGCCTTCCAGTCAGGCCCCCTGAGCCCAGCAAGCCGTCCAGGGCCTGGGTGGAGGGAAGTCTCCGCAGCGGCCCAGGGCCCCGACGGTGGAGGCTCTGCCCGGCCCCTGCAGCTCGCCGCGTGGTGTCAAGAGGCTGGCTGTAATAGACCAGTAATGAATTAGGCTGGGCATCCGTGGCCTGAGGAACGTCTGGTTACCCACCAGTGCACGTGTGCCTCAGTCAGCATTGGGGGCCGCGGGGACCAGAGCCACTGGTTGCTTCCTGAGACGGGTCAGAGCTAGCCCTGGGCGTGAGTGTCTGCCCCACACTGAGTGGCCTGTGCAGTGGGCTGCGGGCCTGTAGGAGAAGCAGGCCCAGCGTGGGGCTTCTGGGGTGGGCGGCAGGGGTCCTGGGAAGACGGGGCCAGCTGTGCAGGGGAGGAGCCCTGGGAAGAGGAGAGACTCCTGCTGCCTGGGCCCCCTCCTTGGGCTCACCTGCTTCTCTCATGTCCAGGGTTCAGCTCTACCACGAGCGTCATGGTGCTGGCGAGCACCAACCGCCCCGACATCCTTGACCTGGCCCTGACGCGGCCCGGCCGGTTTGACCGTCAGATTTACATTGGTGAGTGTGCTGGCTGCCTGGGTGCTGAGGCTTGGCTTTTCCTTCCTTTGGGTTAAAAGCTGGGTTAGATCTTTAGCTGTGTATTTGGTGGAGATTTTGATCGGGGTCCTAAAGCCGTTAATACAGTGTTGTGAAAACGGTGGAGGTGCGTGGGTGCCCCCCACTTTGGGAAGAACAGGTGTACTTGGGGCTGGGGGAAGGCCACTGCAGTCCATGCAGGTGGGAGCGAGGTGACAGACTTGGATCCTTCAGCTTTTACTTTTTGTGCACCATTAGCGAGAGAAGCATTCACCCTGGCCCTTTCCACTGGTGAGGAGATCCTGGGAATTTAGGACTTGCGTCCTGCACGGACCCCCTGCTGCCAGGGCAGCCAGAGTTTTGCTTGTGGTTGGGTCCCTGTCCTGGGATGGATTTGCGTGGACCAGAGGCTCCACGGTCAGGAAGTTCTTTGATGTGTTGAAGAGCTGAACGTATGTGATCTGTGGGTTGTTTCTGCCGCAGGGAGCTCCCTGGCCCGGGTCGGACAGCCGAGTGTGCAGCACAGACATACAGGGGAGGGCCCTTGCAGTGAAGTGGCTGCAGGTGGCCCTGCCCTGGCCCTCAGTGCCTCTCTTTCTGTTAGGCCCCCCTGACATCAAAGGCAGGGCGTCCATCTTCAGGGTCCACCTGCGTCCACTCAAGTTGGACGGGAGCCTCAGCGAGGACGCCCTGGCGAGGAAGCTTGCGGCCCTCACTCCAGGCTTCACAGGTGAGTGTGGCCAGGTGGGCCGTGCGGGTCTGGACGTGTTGTCGGTGGGTGGTGTCTGGTTGTGCCACTTGGTCCTGGCACGTGCTACCCTTGTCTTTAGAACTTTTGAGTCTGATGGACATATCGGAGGCCTCAGAGATGATTAGCCCCAAGGCTGGCTTGTGCCTGTTTGAACTCCTGCCACCCCGGGAACATAGTGCAGTGACGCCTTGTCCCCTTGGCATGCTGCCCATTGAAGGGGTCATGGTTCAGCACTTCCCAAATTGGATGACAGACCTGAGTCTACACGTCCAAGTAATTGAATAAACTCCAAGTAGGGATAAACCCAGAGACGTCCACACTGAGATACAGTGTAACCCACGTTGGTCAGAGATAACGAGAGGCTGTTGAAGCCAACCAGACAGAAGGGACACCTAGTGGGGATGGGTCTTCAGTAAGGTTAACATCCGATTCTTCTTGGAGACCATGAGGCCAGAAGGCAGTGGATCTGGCAAGACTGTTCTTCAATAGGGAAGGAGAAATAAAGGCATTCCTAGATTGTTTTTTAGAGTTGAGGGAACTTACTATATTTAAACCTGCCCTCCAGGAAATGCTGGAGTCCTTTGGGCTGAAATGAAAGGGCGCTGGCCAGTGACTCAAAGTTGTGTGGGGAAATAGCCCTGGGAGAGGCAACTGCATAGGTAAACGTAGAGGCCAGCATCCTGTGTGTTTTTGGTTTGCAGCTCCTCTGTTTTCCCTTTATGATTTAAAGGGCAGGTGCTTAAACCCATAAAGACGCGTCTGTGTTAATGGGCACACAACGTAAAAAAAAAAAAAAAAAAAAAAAAC